TATTCGTCTTAAAATTGATCGCATTCTCTTGGCAAGACATACTCTCAGTGGTTTGCCATTGCCTTCTGAGAGGAGAACGAGCGAATATAATTTTTTTTTTTTTATATATATAATTTTTCTAGGTCTACCGGGAATCGAACCCGGGACCTTTGGCTTAACAGACCAATGCGCTGTCTAATAGGCCACGCTCGTTCTCATGGTGATGGCGTGTCTTCCTATACATGCGTAATTATATTTATAACTAGCTGTAAAAAATTATTAATTGAATTTTTCTCAGAGATGACGTGTCTTACATAAATCCGTAAATTCGCGTTATAATGTACAAAATATAATTATATACACGTAATTAAAATACTCTGGATATTTCGCGGATTATCCAAAGATCAGTGAACAAAGACGTGGCCCCGTTTTATCCCTCCCCCGAAGCTATCCTCGTAACTAAATATTCCATAGGCGTGGTGCGGGTGTCGAACGAAATGCCTAAATCACGGGCACGACGGAGGAGACTCGCGAGAAAGTTGGAGAAATGTTGGAATTTATAGACACCGTCTGAAGAGCTTTCGTTCGTCACAACAAACACGTCGCGGCGCATCCAACGTGGCCATCCATCACGTGTGCCTCCGAGCGAGCGAGCGAGCCGCATTAATTTGCATCGCGAAGTTGTCGGTATTAATTCGGTCCGCGAAAAGAGAATGTCAGCCCGTGCGGCGGGTCCATTGCGGACTTAATGTCGCGGTAGATACGCGAGAACAAGGGAAATTCTGCCGGGAGCATCTCTCCGGAGATCCTCGCGCGATCTCCTGACCTTCGCACGTTAATCGCGTCGGAGAAAATATTGAAAAAACCGTGTGTTGCTCTCAGCTTCTCTTATTCTCGCTTCGCTCTCCGCTTCCTTACTCAGGAATGTATTTCTTAGTTCTTACGCTGCTCGGTGCGCGAGGGGTTCCACTTATTTTTGTCCGCGTTGTAACTCTGATCGCTGATTTTTCATCCTCGCCTCGCCTTCCGAGTTGCAGGAGTTGCTCGAAAAATGTCGATACGCTACGTTCCCGACGCGCGACGCAGCGTTTCGTGTCACGATTATTTTTGGCCGGTAAAATATATCACTTTTTACGATTTATTTATTATTTTTAATATTTATATAAGTAGGTATTCGCTCTTTTCGATGATTTTTCCTGAAATCCTTCGAATATCTTATATAACATTAAATACATAATAGTTATTTGGTGTAACAAGTGCTGTAAGATGGAAATTGGACTCGCCTCCGGCTCGTGCGTCCACTCCGCACGTCCAATTTTCAACTTAACACACGTGTTACACATCCAGTATTTTATGTTGCAAGTGCGTGGAAAGTGGTCCATCACGCACGCGTCGCGTGCGTATAATGGGCCATTTTCTATGCACGTGTGACATAAACATATTTTTTTTAAACTATCATTTTTTTGGCTTCTTATAAGAATACAATGTACCGTTCGCAATTAAAATATTCATTTCTGTGCATTTACTCATTGACATTTATATCGATACATTATTTATATACAAATAAATGCTACAGAAAGTAGAAGAGTAATGAGAAGTAATTTTGCGAAACTTCGTTGAAACATTTACAGAATATAATTATACCGCGGTATCTAGGATAAGTCTGGTGTGTGGGATCTGGGCTCACTGTAGGGGCCCAAAATGTATATATATTTTTTCTGTTAAAACAATAAACCGCGCTGTATGTGCAGCCCCTAGCGTACTTATTCATCTAACAGAGACCGCACTTTTTTTTCCGCGCACTTTCTTCTTCATTTTCACATATGTCGTGGTCTCGGTTTTCATATTAATTTATTCTACCGCGTACTTTATAGTATCTCATTTATGTTCTTCGAGAAACGTATGTATTTCTCCAAAACTTGCTATTCAGTCATCAGTGCCGCTTCGTTTTTACGCGGATCCCACCGCGCGCATGGAAGTCTTCCGTTTCATCCCCTCGTATCCCTCCCACCTACTACCTGACCTATCTATTTTCTCGGCGCCGTCCTCCTCATCTCCGTGGGTGGAGACAAAGTGATAGCCGGGGACCAGTCATGCTCGCCGCCGAAGGCGGAGTTCCTCCGGCGTGACACGATGAGCGATCGCGCCGGAGGCCTTCTTCTTCAGACGGGTAGTAACATTCGGAGAGGATGGGCGAGTGAAGGAGAGGGAAAAACAGTGAGAAACAGAGAGAGGGAGAGAGAGAGGGAGAGATAAAGCCAGAGAGGAAGGGATGGGACTGATGGGAGAGAGACGCCGCGACATCGTGCCGACGGCCGACGTCCGCGACATACTAGAGTAACTAGAGACGCTCATACGGCTCATTCGGGGATTCTCTTCTTCGCCGACGTTCGCCGGTTTTCACGCGGCCGGATTTTGTTCGTCGTGATTTCGATATTCACGCGGCCCCGCGCGCGCGGCCGTCTAATATGGCCTAATCGTATCGAGACGATCGCGCATCGTTCTCCATCGTAACACGTGACACCCGCGTATCGGTGATCAAACGGATAAGTGGATGGGTGCGAACAGTCGCGGTGGTTCCGTGCTCCGTACCTGGCAGCACCAGCACCAGCACCAGCAACAGCAGGCTGGGCAGCAGTACAAACACCTGTCTTCAGTGTCTTCGGCACGCGCGCGGGACCTCGAGGACGCCCGATGCGCTGAGAGGACGAACGGAGCGGGCGGAGGTATGCGCGGCGCGGCGACGGTGCCGCAACCGCCGACGCCGGCGTCCCAGTGCGTGACGGCGCACACGGGCGCTTACTTTATCCTGCACAACAATGGGATCCAGGGTGTCAACGACGGCGCCGGTGCCGTCGTCGGCGCGGTGGCGCACAACGGCGAGGGCAACCCGGACGGCAGGTCCTCGATGGGGCATCATTACGCGGGTCGCTACACGCCGCCCGCGTCACACCTGATGGACCTGAGCGGTCCCCCGGATCACCAGCAGCATCATCAGCACGCGCACCATCACAACCTATCGTCGTCCGCCTATCATCATCCGCACAGTCAGGTCGCGGTCGAGTACAACGAGCTGAATCATATGATGTTCAAGAATCCGGAGGAGACGCGATACCACCCTCATCATCCCCATCACCAGCCCCGGGACCAGCTGGAGTACGACCAGCGGCTCCACTCGACCGACAATTCGCCCGAGTTTCTCTCGGATTACAGCAGGGACCACGAACAGCAGAGCCTGTGCCTGACGCCGTCCTCGCAGAGCGTGTACTCCCCAAGCGGCTGCGGCGGCGGCGCCGACGAGATGGTCGCCCCTAACTCCGTTCAATCGGTCCACGGCCAGACCGGGTCCTACGTGGACATGGCGGAGTACAAGCCGAACGTGATGGAGGAGAGAATGGTCGCGCGATACGGTTGTGAACAACAGGCCGCGGAGCTCGGCCACGCGACCGAGCCGTCGTCGTCGTCGACGACGACGACGACCAAGGGTTACGGCGACAGGGAGGGCTGCGTCAGGACGACCGTCAGGAGGAAGAGGCGGCACAGCGGCAACAACAACAGCAACAGCAGCGGCAACGGTTGCTGCAGCAACAGCAACGAGTCCGACGGCGAGAGCTCGACGGCGGCCTCGACGACGAGGACGAAGGTGCGACGCAAGAACGATCAGGAGCTCCAGAATCAAAGGGCGATGGCGAACGTTCGGGAACGGCAGCGGACGCAGAGCCTGAACGACGCGTTCGCCGCGCTCAGGAAGATCATACCGACCATGCCGAGCGACAAGCTCAGCAAGATCCAGACGCTCAAGCTCGCCACCAGGTACATCGACTTCCTGTTCCACGTGCTCAAGAGCAACACCGAGAACCTCGAGTACATCGAGAACGCAGGTAATTCGACGTATATATCGTTCAAGGTGACACGGGCGCGAAAACGTGGCGAGTCGGTTACGGAAGACTTGAAGGGAATGCCCAAGAACTCTGTTTCGTGTTTCATCTCTCGCTTCAAAACACGCTGTGTTTTGATTCGGTTCGCTCGTGTTTACAAGCACACAGGCCTAGTTTACACCGATCTCTTGATACGCGTATCAAACGATATATTTGAGCTGATCAGCCAATAATCAAACTAATTTACTAGTTATTTACTATTTAATACGCGTATCAAGTGATCGGTGTAAAAGCCTTATTCACTCCAACGTATTTTCCGCCCTTTTTAATCCTCGCATCATAACTCACGAACGAATTGACGAAATTTAATGTTCCAAAGCGCAAATTAAAGCTAAAAGTTTAGCTTAGAATTAGAAACTCGTTGGGACACGAAAGGGCTGGTTGGAGTGAATAGGGCTAGGCCACAATTTCGCTATCTACGAAACAAACGTCAGTTTATATAGCGTCCATTTAGCGCGCTCTCTTTCTTCCCCTAATATATACATTTACCAGACAGCAAAAATGTCCAAAATCGCGACGTAAGACGTCTCGAAGACCGATTTCCAGGTTTTTGGACATTGTGCTGTCTGGATATATAAAGAAGAAGAGCGATGTCGCACTCAAATCGTATTCTTAATATTTCCTTCAACCCTTACTCGTCCATCGCGTGGAACGAAAATGTCACGCGCGTGGTATTTGTGACGAGCGCGGAGGGAGGGAATCGCGTGCGAAAAAGATTGAAAATAAGGGGGATTATTTGGTGGCAACCATGTTAAAGACGCTGCGTACTGTGCTTGTTTTTTTAGTGCGTAGATATCTCGTATGATTCGGGTGGCCATCTTGCATCGCCAAAGGGATGCTGCGAGCTCACGCTATCGACTGCACGTTGTTCGGAGAGACGCTCGAGGATCGTCTCCGTCCGCACCTTGCCCCCGTAGGATGGGAGATACGTGTTTACAGCGCGGCCCCCGGGGTAATTAAACAGAGACTGCCGTTTCGGAGGCTTTTTCCCGTAATTTACACACGAGGATCCCGGGCGACGAGCCCGCGACTCGAGCACTCACGCCGCCCGCCGTTGCTCTCTCAAGTGCCTCTCTCCGTGAAGGAGCTCCGATCTCTCCCATATCACGCGTCCACGCGATTCACTCGTTCTCATAATATTTATGGACCAGCGAGGATTAAATCCCCCTGCCTCCCGCGCGCGGGCCGCGTGTATCCCGAATTTTTTACGTCCGGAATAATAACAAACAAACGCGACGTTTAACGGTGCTCTTTATACCGCCACCCGAACTTGTAGACGCACTCGAATCCTCGCGATAACATTCAACGACGACATTAACGACCCGGATAAATACGTAAAGCCCGTGTGCCGGCGATAAAGAAGCAAAATCATAAGTTTATTGAAACCTCTGATTCTGATATACTATGCAGATGAGCAAAGCGGGAATCGAGGGAAATGAATGTCGCGAACGGCAGCGTCTCGGATGCGTGGCGGAAATGACGGCTTAAATTTTATCCGCGCGGCGGACAAATCTTGCCCAGTTCGTCGTTATCTCAGCCGAGCGACGTGAACCACCCGGTGCACGCCGAACAACGAGCACGCATTCGTAACTCGGCGTGACTTAACGATACCGGGCTAACGGCTCGGAACCGGCGCCGATTGGCTCGTCGTTCTCGGTTTCTGCGCGACGCGAATTTTCGCGGGACGGAAATATACATATACGTGCCGCGCGTTTCTTTTACTCGATCTTTTTTCCTCGGGGGGGAGTTCTCTCCTACAGCGCGATACCGTGGTGCCGCGCGCCGCTTCCCTTTTATTTTGGCGCTCGCATTATACGCGGACAGAATTATCGCGTAACGATCCCTCTCCGGCCTCTTCTTTCCCTTCGATTTCTTTCGCCGGCTCTCCTTCTTGGTCCTCGCTTTTATATTTCCTCGTCGAAATAGAGCGAGACTCGAGACTCGCCGAAAGAACGATGTGGATCTTCTTGGAAATGAGATGAATATTGAAAGAGCGTAAAAAAGAGACAGATTTTGTTGTTGAATAGTTGAAACTGTTGGGGTAAACGGAAACGTCTATTCTGACCGCGAAATGTATAGTATTTAACGAGTCTTCCTCAATTTCTTCAGAAAAATATCAATTTTTATCAATTTCTATGCGATTTTTATAATTAAGAATGTATTTGCTGATTTTTTATGAGTTCCACTTTATCTTCCTCGGCCTTCAAACAAGAAAATCCGACAGAATTGTATTAAACGATCATATTATTCTCCATGACAATTTACCCTTTGAGAAAATACGCTATATAATTACATTAGACGATGACATAATAAAAGATGCATAAAAAATATTTGTTTCAGCAGAGATGAACGCCCAGAACGCAATTTTGTCTGCGAAGGAGGTCGTGTCGTCGTCGTCGTCGAGTAATTACATAGCGCACGAGAGACTGTCGTACGCATTTAATGCCTGGAGAATAGAACGTGATTGGAACTCCTCTACGTAGGACATAGGATATAGTGCTAGGATAAAATTACGTTAAAATTTAATGAGGTAAGATGGCGAGAGACCAGGAACATCCTCGAATCCAATTCGAGAATATTTTGCTCATCTCGAGAAAAAGGATGTACACATATGCATATATGCTCCCTACACGCACGCACACATACATACATACACGCAATATGCATATATATATAGATATAAATAATTTAAAAATGGTTTGAGATAGAAATTGTGTGCGGCGCGTGTATTATAATTATAAATTATATTTTTTTATACCAAAGAAAGTTACAAATAAATTATTTTTTACTAAGAAAAAATAATGTGCAGAGTGAGGCATTTAACTAATAATAATTCAAGATATTCTTGTTATGCGTGAAATTACTGAAAAATATTTTGAATGTGAAAAATTTTACAGTGTCGGGAGAAAATATGACGGGTGAAGTGAATTTTTTATAGAAGGCATTTTTATTGTAAAATATTTGCGTCACTGATATTCTTTTAGATATCCTCCAGTCATTCTTACATATGAAAGTATTATCAATGATAACATGTATTACAATATACAAAGTATTACATGAAAGTATAATCAATCAATAGTCAATATAAAATAAGAAACAATTTTTTGAAAAGTAAATAGTTTATGAGACATTTTATACTTTTGTCGTATTTTGATATAAGGTATGAAATATCTCGTAAAATATTTATTTTTTACGATCTGACTTAATTTTAACGCACAGAATAATGAAATAAATTAGTTGGCGTAAACACAATACTTTTCAAGAAATATATATAATTGTAAATTAATCAGCATAAAGATATTGAAATCAGGTCTTCGAGAAAAATGGATACTTTACCGAGACATTTCCCTTCCCGTGAAACTTTCATTCAAAATATTTTCCAGTTATTTCACACATAGCGATAACTATTTTAAATCCAAGTCGAATGCTCCACTCGGTATCGAATAGCGCGTAGGATTAAAATGTCGCTGCGGCATTTGCGCTTCGAGATTCTCGCTTAGTTTCTCTTTACGGGTTCCATTATTTTCAGAATGAAGCTTCACGATTTACAAAGTAAAATCCAAGACACTCTGCGTGATTCCTGCGAATTGAAAGCGAGTCGAAAAAAACAGACAATGTTCGTGCGGCTCGCATCATCATCCTGGTCCGGTGAGACTCGCGGATCGGAGGGGGCCAGTTCGCGCGCCTCGATGGGACAATCCCGCGTGCGGCGGGACCGTTGTCCCGCGGATTGATCCTACCGGGGATAATAACACGCGTGGCGCGCGTCTCTTTCCGCCGCGGCCTTTGAAACCCAATTCACGACAGTTAATTCTGTCCCGGCTGATTCCCGGCGACGACGCGGCATCGCTCGCTCGCTCGCTCGCTTGCCCGCTCGCGGTAACGCAGGCTAATAATTCACGTCTTCTCGTCGGACTATTAACGGCGCGACAGCTCGAACTCGGCCGCGCCGATACCGTCGCAAAGCGCGCGCTTATTAGCCCGCGCCGCGCGTTACGCACCTGCATCAATCAGCGAAATTACATCTTGTGTGTGATCCTCCTTTCCATACTATTTCTTCTCGTTGGATACCGAACGACGTTACGTAAACTCGGACCGAACTTCTTTTCCCGAATTCCCGGAGTAAAGCGCGCCGATTTTAGCGGTCGGAGCGGTTTCGTTCGCGGACGAGCGACGACGGACCGGTCGATCATCGTCGGGGATTCCCCCGCGTCCATTTTCCGTTTTGACTACCTCTCGAGTGCGCGTTGCAGCCCGTTAACGGCGGATTTACGAGCGTTTACCCGGTCTGTCCAAACAATCTCCGCGCGGCGATTTATCGAGTCTCATAAGCCTCGGCCTCGCGCGGCGTTTCGCCGCGAATTCTCGCCGATAAAACGCCTCGGCGTAAACTCGCGCAACTGAACGCGGCGAGTATCTCTCGTTTTATTCGGGCGTAAAACATTTGTGTAACATTTCGAATGATGTTCTGATATATCGAGGTAATCCCGGATAAAATGCAAATACTTGCAATGCTGATTTCATCCAAGAAACGGGATACGAGCGCGTCATTCGTGCTCAATTGCTCATCTACGAAGAGGAGAGATAGAGAGAGAGAAGTCGGTCGCGCATCCACTAAATATTAATCGCCGGATCGTTCCTTAAGGAAATGAGAAAGAGTTAACGAGCATTTCGGCGCCCATCGGTCGGGCACAATATTATTTTTTTCTCCCGAGATGACAGTCGCGGGGGCTCCCTCGTCGCGTAACGCGCATAAAATAACCGCCGCGCCGCGCCGTGAATATTCCGAATGGCGTTAGTTATTTTAAACCGGTCAAAGCAAACTTTCGGCCGCGTTTTAAACCGCTTAACGAAGACGCGCCGCGTTGAAGAGCCGTCCTTTTCCACATTCCCTTCTCCCCTGCGCTTTATCGCGGCAGCGAATCTTCGCGGAAAAAAAAAATCTCGCGATCAAGACGGAGAGAGAAAGAGATTCGGTCGAGCGGATCTCATATATGAACTTGCGTCGCGTTAAGAAATGTATTCTTATAATTTTCGGAATGATCGTGTAAGGTTTCCGAAAACGTATTTTTAGAATCGCGAGCGGATCTAACATAGCTAATCTAATCACGCTTGACGCTACGGATTATGACGGACGAGGTAATCGCGAAATATATTACGGGCGAATAAATATCACAAGTTCGCCAAGTTCTGTCATTAACATCATTATCTCATTCGCGCACCTTCTGCGTCGCTCATCCCCTTTCCTTCCCCGCGTTCCGCGATTAACCGAGACCTAGCGGACGCTGAATCCGGGGCTCCCTCGCTATTCCGCTAACGTTAATTGGGCCGGTAAAAACATTTATCTACGTTTCGGCCGGGGCGACAGTCCTGGAGAGAATCTCGGCAGCGGGTCTCGAAAGCGGCGGCCGCGTGCGCTCTCCCGTGCCTCTGTGCTTTTTATTCGTCGCGCAACGCGCCGGTGCCGCGACCATAAATCTCTTTGAATTCAATTAGCCAAGACACATCCGAGACGTTCGGCGTCCCTTCGTCTTCCTCCCGCCTCTCCGGCGGGGCCTTTTCGGGCATCTCCCCCCCCCCGTTCGATGACGCTTCTCGACCGTGCTGCAAAAACAAACCCGATGCGTCCGTTCCCGTCGACGGGACGGACGTCACCCGATCTAAGGCCGGAATTGACCATTGAAAATCCGTCTCGATAATCCGGGTCCTGTCATCAATTTATCAATAATCCACCGTTGATTTTTTCAGCGGATTTGCCCATTCGAGAGCGGCCGGAACTTCGCGGCCTTAACAAACAAATGTCGAGAGACTGAGATTCTCTAATTTTACTTTCTCGAGAGAGTGCCCGCTGGATTCTGCGAAATCAATCAGGCCCGATAATTTTTCGAACGTTTCCCCGATGGTTCCCTCGGGAGAGCCCGGAGCTAGGAGAGTGCCGGACTCCTCCTATATGCCTCCGTAACGTGATGGCAGAAAAGAAAGACGTCGAGAATGACCGTGACAGCTGCTTTACATCGCGGGAACCCTAGACAACGAGCTGTGCAGCGAATCCAAGGACGATCCGAAAGAGCTTCCCTCCTCCTCCTCTTTCTCCTACGGTCTCTCCTTCCTTTCCGACCTCCTCGTTTCTTTCTCGCGTTAGTAATTGCCGGTATCCCCAAAAATAATTTTCACATGCGAGCGAGCGAGCGAGCGAACGAAGGCTCATCTGTCACGACGTTGACAAAACGCGTTCACTGTGTATCTATGAAACGTTTTTTTTTTTTTTTTGAGGATCCTATCGTCGTAATCGACGTCGTCGCGCCGGCGATTGCGAGAAGATTTTGGACTTTTCGCAGGAAAAACTCCAAATGTGTCTTGTACATTTATTATATATGAATCGTTATTTAAAAGGAAGAAAAAAAGGATAGTTTAGAAAAACTTGTCGTTATAGTATCTTACATTATAGTATTAACTGCTTCGAGGAAAGAAAGGAAATCGTTTCGCGTAACTTCCAAATAATAGTTTCGTATACTGTTAGTATGAGAGCTATTATTTAACCGGAAAAAAGGAAATATAAGAGAATTGCTTATACAGATTTAATTGTCTCGAGGAAAGGTCCCGCGCGTTACTTCCAGACAATGCCGTATACTTGTATTAGTACGGACTACTATTCAAAAGGAAAAATTTAGTTTAAAGACACTGCTTGTGTATCAGTTTAATCGTTTTTCCCTTGAGGAAAGGCTATTATTCGGATAACGGTGCCGTGTACTTTTGCTAGACGATAAAGCAGCTGTTTTGTTATTTTTCGAGATTTTCTTTGCCGAATTACCAATTTTATATAGATTTAATTGTCTCGAGAAAAGGCCCTGTGTGCGTAACTTCCAGACAATAATTCCGTGTATTTGTATTAGTATGGACTACTATTCAAAAGAGAAAAGATAGTTTAGTTAAACAAACTGCTTGTATCAGTTTGATTGTTTTTCCCTTGAGGAAAGGCTATTATTCGGATAACGGTCCCGTGTACTTTTGCCAAACGAATGCAACTAGAGATTTATATAAAGCAGCCGTTATTTTTCGAGACTTTCTTTGACGCTGCCGCGGTTTTATTTACCAAATTTCTGATCTTTGATATGAAACAGAATCCATGTTAAAATACAACGGGCACGATAAAGCGACGAAAAATATGACGTACGGACTGCGTTCCTTGATATAGACATATATATAAGCTTCGGCGACAGCGCGACTTCCGAAGGTCTCGCAAAATCATCGCTGTGGCTGCTTTGTGCAAAACCGTCGTATCTTTTCGTTCGGCCAAGGCGCACGGAATTGTTATCGCGCGTATATTTTATATATGCACGTAACACAGAGCTATATAATTTACGACTTCACACGAGACAGGCAGGAAGGAAGCGATCCCAAATGCGCGGCGATCTCGCCTTGCCTTGGCTCGTCCGTATCACGCAGCTCTCTGCTATGATATAGAAGAGATATACATTTATTTTCGTTGCGACGTTACGCAAGCTGTAACATTTATTTTCGTTGCGAAATAAGAATGCTGTGAATTCACGTAGGCTCTCTTGTACGGTTCGGTCCGAACGTACGTTTTTTTTTTTCGTAATGTGAAGGCGCGACAAAACGAATCTTACGATTCGATGTGGAACTCACAACCACGTGGCCGGATAAATGCAATAATTTATTCATCCTGTGGTATATCGACATCGACGCGAACCTGCGAGTGCTGTGTGTGTCACGCATTGTCATGTTAAATCGGTGCGAAAGGTTCGTCGTTTCTCTATATCGAAAGCTTTGCATCAGGTGAAGACCGGAAACACTTTCTGAAAAGGAGATTGAAAAGATTCTAGAAGAAAAAGAAAAAGAAGCCTACAATCTCTTGCTTCGATTTTGCTGAAAAATCGCGTTTTCGACTTTATTTGACAAACACGACGAACCTGCCGCGCCAAATTTGACACGTATCTTTCCTTGCTTATGTATATACGCGTTACAACGTAACACGATCGATAGATAAGTGCTCTGTAAATAATCGTGTGATAGATTTTTAACGGCGACTTTAAGCGAGACGACATCTCGGTATCCATTCCCTCGACTCGATGCTACCTTGCATTTTGCTTATTTATCCGAGCGATCTCTCCCTTCGCTCGCGCATTTTTTATGTACAGTATTTTTATACTGTCGCGATCACTGCGATAAATGCAAAAATATAGAAAGGAATTCTAAGCAATTGAGCGACAACAATGAATAATAAAGGAACTGTGAACACAGATATATATAATGTGTGTCTTTCTTAACCTTCTTAACTTAAGTGAACCCGCTTCTTTATCTTACACAGGATGCTTTGGAGACGTTTAATTAAGGGTTACGATATGAGTAATGATTTCTTAGTAGATTATTTAGTGTCAGTTTTTTTTATTTCAAAAATGTTGCAAACCTTAAAGGTATCTCTTGAATGTTTTGAAAAAGTATTGTTGTCTATGATATATGATACTTTACATAAATAATATTAATTGCTTTTCAGAGTTTTAAATATTACATAGACATTTTTCAGGGAAATTTTCCAGGTATTTTCAAAACTTTCAGAGATTTTTCGAGATCTCCAAGAATTTCCAATTTCAAATAACATTCGAAACTTTCATTACCTGAAAACTTAAAAAAAACCATTCGAGCGTCCGTCGCAAAATTAGCCTGAAACCCTAGCCGTAAAATTCAATTTAGAAGTTCTCCATTGTCAACCCTTCATTATTGCTTTTATTTAAGTCGTCACATGCAGGAGCTAAGAGCTAACTGAACTTTAGACTGAGTGAGCTAAACTGGGCTTTTAGCTAAAAAGCACCATCATTTAAAGCGACGTTAACGCGAGGATTCCAGACTACAGCAGGAAATTATTGGGCCCTCATCGCGGGTTATTGTTGCGGGTTAGATGGGCGATTACACGGAGACTTAACGTAACGGCAAATCTCTCGCCTTGAGCGCTCGTGATGTTAGATGCGCGTAAACGAGCGCGTCTCGCAAAACGTATACGGATGCCAGCGAGATTGTAAATCAAGGAAGGGGAGAGGAGGTCCAGCAATTGCGGGAGAGAAGAAACATCCGCGGTTACGTGCGAATGAGACGGAGACGAGCGAGCGAGGGGAACAAGCCGGGGGACGGAAGAGTCGATAAATAATTTACCGAACGCCGCCCGGCGACGGCGACGGCGGCCCTAATGGATTATAGACGTGCCAGTGCAAATATTATTGCAAGCTAACGGAATCGTACAGTGACGCCCAGTCCAGTGCCATTGGTCCAGAGCCGTGTCATCTCCGGTATGCCCGCGCCAATCGGGACGGGATGCCGAGCTCCTCTCGTTGCCTCATCTTCGGGTCCAGAGACCCGAGAGGCGCGAGAATGCGAAATCACCAAGCGGTTTTGTCATCGTTACGAAAGCTTTCAATTTTCGATGATTCTGCTTTTTTTATCTGGATGTTTGATGAATTTTTATGCTAAAGGAGTCCCGTTGAATGCAAATCAAGAAATATTTCAATCCTTCTCTTTATCTTTAAATGCATCTATCTTTTTATATCTTTTACATTTCTTCGATTAAACTTGATCAATCTCTTTAATCTAATTGAGTTGATCGAAATGTTTGACTGTACCTTATTTAAATATTTTTTATCTTTGTATTTTTTGGCGCGGAGCGTAAGTAGGATTATTGCTGCAACGTGTTTAAAGACTCCACGTACGTGTCTGCATTTGTAACGTCATCCGACCTACGACAGCGTGTATATACGCAATGGCAAGGTACAAAAAGCAACAGCGTACGTAACGCGGTGACATTAAACATCGGAACTCGTAAAAGCGGCTCGCTCCAGTATAATCGGTGTCTGGAGCCGCTGGAAGGATTTCCATCGGCCTCCACCGTGTACGTAAATAAAGCCACCGGGTGCGCGGTGGGTCCGCTCTATGTTTAGTTTAGGCGGTTTCTCAGATTTCTAGGATCACCACGAAAAGCGGGGGAGACGGAAAGAGATAGAGAGAAAGAGTCAGGTTTTCCATTAACGCTGCTGTCGGTTCGCTTCGCGATCGCGCAGTCCCAATTAGATTCCCATGATTGTCCCGACGAGGGTGTTATTTCTGAATCTTGTAATATTAATGATGGAAAGATTATACAGGATATAGAGAGAGAGGTAGCATTAACTTCCCAAATTTCGAAGAGTTTATTTATCTAATTCTTATTTTTGTATTTTCAAGCTCTTGACAGATTAATCAATGATTCTGATTCTTCGTAAGTTATTTAAAAACATATTTATTATTTACTTATTTATCTTCTATATATGTATGCAACACTTTGATGGAGCATTTTTTTTTTTTAAATAAAGTCAGATTAGTCGACTTTCAATTTGAAATAAGAATTGCAAATTACATCATATATAATTTTTTAGTATATATTATAACATAAATCCGTGGGGCAATAGACAGATGTTCGACGGGAGAGGAGAATGGCGGTCGAAGGTGTTACGGGCGACGTCGCCGGCATAAACATCTGTTCCCTGTCTTTTCCTACTGGATCACCGCGATTTCTGTCACTCCTTTCGTTTTCCCCGGGATGATGAATCGCCCGTCGTTAGTGGCGGGCCACGCGGTACGCGAGCACTCCGTGTGTGCGCGTTCCTCATGTAAATATATTTATATCTGAATAGAGCCAATTCTCCTGATGGGGCGCACTTATTCGGTTTTACCGCCGGCAGTAAACCGTCCCGCGATCAGATTATGGACTCTCTCTCTCTCTCTTTCTTTTCTACGACAGACTAAGTACGTGGGTAAATACGCGGGGAACCACCGTGCCAGTTCCGGTGCAGGTCCACGATGAAGCGACCACGTGGATTGAGAGACGTCGCCGCGGACAGGAATAGAAGCGTGCGAAAAGTCCACCGCGAGAAGCTGACGGTGATACTAGTATCTTAAGCGAATTATCATTCAAGCGAAGTTTAATTCTTATGTTACAAATATACGTGATATTCTGTGATATGTACGTAGAATACAAAATGTCTAGAATAAACAAATATAATTAGGTTTATCGATGCCCTAAGAAATCTGTCATTATAAATTCCTGTACCCCATGTCGACAAAAGTCTGGGTTCATTATCATGTTATCATTATCACGTTACATTTTTCATATTTTTACACGATATTAATTATTTAAATATTTTATTTTAATTATTTTATTTAAATATTTTATACTCTCAAATTCAATTCGACGGATTCTATAATCTATAAATAAATTTATAATAAAAATAAATAAAACTCGTTTCGCATAAATGGTTGCTGCTTGCTTGATATGATATCGTTGCAGGACAAAGTCTGGCGGTGTGAAAATTTATAATTGTCATTTATTTTTCTAGACTAATTGTCTCGTTTTTCAAGACGCGTCTTGTTAAATTGACAAATCAGGTCGCGCCGGCCCGCAAGTCACGATAAATCATTGCCGCGGTGCAAGCAATTTTTACGTGACGTTCCGCTCCGTTCTCCCGAAAAACTCGAAAAAGTATCAGCGCCGCGACACGGCCGCTGGCAGCTCATTAAGCCGCGTAATGAGGTCGTCCCTACAGTTAATTATCCCGGAGACGGTTTTCGATGGTCGAGCTCCCGTTCCCTTTCCTCCATTTTTTTTCCTTCCCGTTGCAATCGCGTCTCGTCCCACCCACTGAGGACCGAGGGCGTAAAATGATTCCACGAACCATTCCGACCCGATTGACGACACCCTAAATCACCCTCGCGGGAGAGTCCTCATCTCGCCCGTTTCCGGTATCGAATGCGTAAAAGCTAGAGTGTGACCGAATTGGAAGCCGATTGATTACCGATAGCGATTTAGCAGTGATGTAAATTTTATAAACGCTATAATGCTATACTTCGACGATGCTAGACTCTGACTCGTGACGGCTATAAATTAATTTCACGAAATGATAGAAACGTTTAGAAATTTTTCAAGAGTGTACATTCGGAGTTCAAGTAGTTTAGTACTTTTCTTAATTAATTTCTTCTACAGAACACGTATGTTTCACGCTGGAAATTGCTCCGGGCGCGAAGAGCGCGTTCTATTTTGAGATACATAAATTTACAGGGAAAAAGCGCTAACCATCGCATCTGTCACTCTTATATTAGTTCAATAATTTCGGCTGTACATTTTCACGGCTCGGGAAATGACCTCCAAAAGCGATCTCAATGAACGCGTATCGCAGATACGTATACGCGCCCGGCATCCTAGCTGCCGCGGACATGTGCATCTTATTTACGCAGGATTCGAAGCGAGACCGAGAGTATCCTGGCGCCTCTCTCAGTGATTTACACGTCAAGGGGCGGGCGCGTTGCCGACGCGGAAGGATGGTCCCGAGGGTGAAGATTACAGATGCGGCTCTTCGACGGGAAAGCGGCTGGCCGACTGCGCGCGAGCAACTTCCTTGTTATTACATGGTCGAATAAATTGCTGTTTGCTTCTTTTGCGGGATGTTTTCTCGGATTAAAACGGATCGTATGGACGCGACGATGGGATATGGGATAACATCACGTCCGCGACATGTGCCGGCCGGTTCGCCGTTGGAGGAAGGAAGACAAATCGGCTGCGAGATACATGCGGAGTCGAGCGTTGACAGACACTAAAACAAAGTATTAACGTATTAATATATTAATAATAAATGCCATTAATAAATTAACAATACTAATAATAGAAAAATGTAATTAGAAAATAACTTACAAAAATTATGAAACAATAAAAATTAAAGATTTACGATTTGTAAAAATAGTATCAAATTATTTCAAGTCGTTATACATCACAATCAATTCAAAAAAATTGTTCCGTATTTCAAAGACACGAGAATTGCGACGTTTATTAATAAAATTCGACACGAAACGCAGATTCGTGATGAACACATTCCCGTGTGATCGCGGAGTAGATGTGGCGAGTTTAAACGGAAGCTAAAACGAAAAGTTAACGTACACAGCCGAGGGAGGGACTCTGAAAGAGTTAATAAACAGTCACTAACGCGGAGAGGAGCGTCGTGAAAGCCCCGGATTTATCCGCGGCCCCCGCGCAAGGCGGCATAAACACGACATTCGACAAGAAGACGCGCGCGCTCGGTTCACAGGACGCGTCCTTCCTCCCGAGCGCACCCGGACAACGGAGCATTCAGCGCCGGGATTCTAACAGTTTACCGGAACGGTAAACCGCGCGCCAACCGCGAGAGAATGCTCGCTGTCTCCCCTGTTCGTGTTCCGACGATAAGTTCGTAAACGAGCTTCCCTCTCGTTCGCGAAAATTCCTTTGTAACAGGAGTCCCTTTGAGCGGTGAGCGGTGAGCTGCAACGACCGGTACGCGTTCCGCCGATTTGCTTTCAGATTTGTGTATCCCCGTCGATTATTAATAGATTCGTTTGTTGCAAGAAGAATCGCTCTTGTCGAAACCGATACTGCTCGTCTAAAATTTGAACGGCGTTTGCTGATCCTTACGCGAATCTCTGAAACATATTGTACACATTTTTTAATTTCAATATGCAATTGAATTTTTGCAACGAAGGATTGAACGGACGTTGGATAGTTTGATTTAATAAGACAGTCTTGAAACACGCGATATTTTTCAGGTAAGTAAACTATATTCCACACGCTTACAATAATAACATCTAGGTATTTACATTACTTCGCCGTAATTATTTAATAATTACGATACGCATATATGTTTATACATATACGACGGCAGAATAGAGTATGTATAAGCATAATCGTGAAATTGCCTTATCACTTTTGAAAGAAGATATAATAAAATTGAAAATCCGTGGCCCGTAGAAATTAGATCGATAGACATACAGTAGTAAAGTAAATTCAGATAAAAAGTAACATCAACCATCCTACCATTTGACAAAAATATTATTGGTAGAGATTATCGATGTATCGTAAAAAAGAAGAAAAAATATATACTTATTCTACTTTCAATATGTTCGAATAAAATATAGTTTAGCTTTTTTTTTTACAAATTACGCAAAATTATTACTTTTCTTTCGATATTACATAGTCAGTCATGGAAGAGCGACGATTTACTTGAATTGTAAACGTATTCTTTTCGTGTCAATTAAGGAAGAAATGCTAACTGGAAGAAATTCACGAAGCAATGATACTACGAGCCATTTTAACCGGAACAAACAAGAAACATATCAATCGCAAAATTTTTAAGAAGCCGAGATAATCACTGACGCAATAGATAATAGTTACACTCGTTTTTTGTGTTGTTGGCGTAGAGGCACCTACCATATCTCTATGACGCCTCCGTCCTTATAATATATTTACAAAATAGACCCATTCCATAAACGGAACGAGTCAAGCTGCGAAGCATTGGATTTGCCGAAATTTCAATTTTGGTTTAATTTCATTGGCACGTGCAGTAAATTTGTGCATTTCTATCCGAGAGATTCTGTGTAAACGGAGCTAGACAAATGTATTGAAATATTTCTCATATTTCTCTGGACGCATTTTAATACAATCAATCGTAAAAGCGTAGAAAATCATTGAAAGGAAGGATGTCAGCACCGAAAAGAAGAAACTTGATTCCCTTAGTTACAAGTTACGCCAGAAGAGACTAACTCCGATATGAGAAGAAAGGCAGGGAAGCCACTGCGATTACACGTCGTTTCATCTTGATCGCACGTGTCTTGTGCGAATCGAGAGAGAGATTACGAATCGTACGTCTTCTCCTTAATGGCTAGAGCGCGTAGAGTATAATACAACTTGTATCTTACAATCGACCCTCGATATAAAAATCTATGAAACTATCCACAGTTTACTGGCGAAGGTTCCGAGCCGCGTGGAACCGAATGGCGCTCGTCGGCACGAATTCGAAAGATTGATCGATAGGCAAGTCCAACAGGAGCCCATGTCTCATAATCCTTTTCTTCCAGGATGTACGCATCGTCACGGCTCCCTCTCCCTTTCACTCGTACTCGTTGTAGCTTGAAACACACAGTCCGATTCCGACTTATTCCGTGGCTATGCTCTTCAATACGTAATTCACCGTGTACAAGAACGCTGCGAAGCTGATGATGACAACGAGATTGGCCAGCGCGCTGTGCAGCGGGCTCTGTTCCCTCTGGAACTGATCTCGTATCAACATAGAGACCTCGGACGCGGTGGACTGATGCCTCGCTTGCTTCTCAAGTTCTTTCCGACGTTCCAGCTCCGCTCTGATCGTCTACGGATAATATTAAATTATCAAATTGACAGTATTTCAAATTCAGCAGTTACGCGCTATTATTAGTACAGCAGATTTCACTACCTCAACAGTTTCTGGAAAAAGTTCGCAGAACATCTTGTCCCTCAGATTATATTCCAAGCTCTGCGCGGCCAGCTGTCTCTTCTCATAATCCGTCGTATTAATACTGCCGAGCGTGGGACTCTTCTCAATCTGTAAATGCAAGATAGTTTCATAGATTTTTATATCGAGGGTCGATTGTAAGATACAAGTTGTATTATACTCTCTACACGTTCTAGCCATTAAGGAAAAGACGTACGATTCGTAATCTCTCTCTCGATTCGCACGAGACACGTGCAATCAAGATGAAACAACGTGTAATCGCAGTGCACTGTAATTAAAACACTCCTCCAAACTGCAAACTGTCGAAATATTTCAGAGAACGTACCATAAAGCTGAGCAAGCCAGTGAGAATGGTAGATACGCTCCACGCTGGATTCCACGTATCTGGATGAAAATCAGAAATGGACAGACACAGTCTCGTATTGACTTTAAATCGGCCGTTGGGAGTGGTCATGTAAATGCTAGGAGGTTGAAACGGAAACTCTCCTGGAAATATGAGCCTTCCATGATAAAAGCCACCCTCGTAAGGCGTCTTTTCCGGCCCGATAACCACGTAATGCCTGAAACAAGCCAGTTGTACGTTAAAATTACGCGTGGGTAGCACGATCAACGGGTGAACTAGTTTAACCTAGAGTTAATAGACTTGCCATTCCAAGATGTTAGAAGGCACTGGCTCCGCAAGAACATACGGCACTGGATCTCTCTTCAGGCGCAGATAGTCCTGTTTCAATCTGGCCGTCGCACTGTTGGCCTTTCTGTTCATCCTTACCATGTAGCCCAGTGTTATTTGCAAACGGACACCGTCGGAAATCCCCCCGCACTGATATTTCCTTCGGATTCCTCGTCCGAACGACCGTAACGATTCCGCTCGTCGTTTCGCGCGTGACGTTTTACAGGCTGGAATCTCACTCGACCAGCGAGCTGGCGGGTCCGTTTCTCAGCGTCGTCCAGTCGCGCGACCGACGTCGAATCGCATCGCAGGCATCCGCGTGGGAATCGGCCGCTGCGACGTTCCTCCCTGGGGCTCGTTCGCGGGATCCCCGAGAGACGGACGATGCGACGGCACGAGGTAGGGTTACGTCGTCGCGCGGAATGACGAACGTGGGAATCGGGCGACGTGAATCCGCGTGGAAGCACTTGGCCGCGCGTCGGGGTCGGGACGGTCGGGTCGACGGGCGTCGGACTGCAGGGCAGTGCAGGGTGGTGAGATAAGCGCTCGGGTGACGTATCGCCTCGGTGCTCTCGGGAGAGTGCGAGCGCACGCGACCGCCGGCCGAAACGGAACTCGACAGCGTGGCGAGCGGTCGCGCGACAACGGGAAACATCTGACTGGCGGGATCCGCCGAATTAATTCATCCCCGGGATGTCAGGGTTACCATGCTACCGTGCGGAAAGCGTAACCTCGCGTACGGGAACAACCTATCATCCGTGGGATATCTCGCTGAATGAATCGCGGTGAATCGGGAACCACGGGAAGCGCTCGCGCGATGGAACGCGCTTGGCGCGTCTTTTTCGAAGGCCCACTCGCCGACTCGTGCGAGATGCACAGATGACGATGAAAGTGCGATTTTTAATAAAAATCGAATATTCACGCGTAGTAGAGATACATACTTGTTCACCTAATGTTTAAATAATAAATTTAATATTATGAGTTATCAATAAAATTAATATTATATGTATAAAATATGTAACTAATAATTATATATAATTAATTATATTATTATATATATTGTGTTGCTCGATAATCGCTGATAATAAATTTAATGTTATGAGTTATATCAATTATAAAATTAATACTGCATTACTATATATAACAAATATATAATTAATTATATTAATTAGTTACTTAAAATTAGAATTAAGTTTTCTAACTACACAATTCGTCCCTGATCCAATCTTTTTTTTTCATATATTAATAAATATATTATTATATTTCTTAACATATTGCATAATTAACTTTTATTTCAACATAAATAGTACAGGTATATTGCTTCACAGAAGTTAATCGGAGTTTGGTCCTTGCGTAGATGACAGTAGCTAATCTCGTGCAGTGAACGGAGCTTAAGATCCGTGACAGTCGCCGCCTCCCACCGTCGTCGCCCCATCACCGGGAGAGTGGATCGCGACGCTGCGCGATTGTTGACATTTTTCTCCGAGTGCCAATGTAAATCCGGTTGATCGTTGACGCTGGTCTCTTCGCCCGGGGGTTTGTCGCGACGCTACGATTCACCCCGCATGACCATGAGCTCGTCGATATCCATGAGCAACGCTGGACCACAGGCCACCGCTACTGGTATGGAGACAGTGGTGGCGGTCGCCTTGGGCGCACTCGCCGCGGTCTTCCTCGGCGCCCTCCTGGTGCTCCTGGTCATCTGTCGCAGACAACGCTGCTATTACGTGAGTCCGGGATGATGAGAGAGACATTGGACAGGAACATTAGGTAGTCGGCAGGCAATACAACGATCTTGCTCATTTCCAGAATCAGAAGGATTCCGCAGAGCTGAGCTCCGACTTGCTCGAAGGAGAGAACATCACTGGCTTGGGATTAGATGCGTGGGAGAGCGAAGAGTGGCTGGCGGGAGCTGAAAGGTAAAAGGAACCATAAATGAAAGTATCAGACAATGCAACACCCAATATTTCACTTTTATCTTTGATTTAGTTTGACATATCTATTGCGATAACTTAAGCTATGAGAAACATAGCAAGATGCACCATTTGTGTCTCTTGTTTTTATCCTGTCATCAATTTTGCAAAAGTTTAGATATCATACAGCTCGTTCGAAAGGTATGTAACGCTTTTACAGGTGGGTGGATGATGCTACTGGTTTGGCTCCGCCTTGCATAGCAGTGCTCCGATCCTGTCACACTCTCGCAGCCAGTCTTACCACTATTGCCGGAACTGTCAACAGCAATACCGTCCCGTTAGAGATAGTTGATGTAAGTCTGATTACCGTACATTATTCTTCTGTAATGTTTTTCCTATTCCTAATCTTATTCTTGTTCACACAGGTTGCCCGACGTATACCGCCTCGCGTAGACGATGTCGTTCGCAGTCTGTATCCCCCGTTGGACGCCAGACTATTAGAGGCCAGGGTGGCGGCTCTAGTGTTGGCTGTGACCCACTTGGCATTGGTAACCAAGCACGGCGTGCCCAAGAGCCAAGCCAGGAAACTGGCGTTTATCGATCAAGCCCTGAACGACATGGACACGCATCTGCTGGTGCTGAGAAACGCAGCGCTGGCTCAGGAAGTGGCCTGCTCTATCCCAGCCTCTACGCCAGTTTGAGTACACGTCGGTTGATCTCTCGCGGTGAAATCAAATCTCTCTCGCCACAGTATTTGTAATCGTTGGATTATATCTTTAGCTTCTTACGGCTTTTTCATTACAATAACGTCGTCACGAGCAACGGGAGCTCTACATAATATGGTCACTAAATTTGTAAATATAGCATAAACATTGAGTGCATTCCATGTATCAGGCGGCAAATACGCGAAAATAGATCATCGCTGATCTCAAAGCACAAAATGGACTAAAGTTCGAGATTACTGATGAGGAAAAAAAACTTGTCAGTGCTTCATGTCAATTATCGTTACTATAAAAAGAATGCATATAAATATATTAGGTATATATACAACACACGTCGGAAGTATCGTGAGGAATATATTTTAATAATCGTTTTTTAAAACGCGGTGAAAATTCGCCAAGATACGACATTTTGTAATACACAGAGATATACGAAAATGACGTCTTCCATGTTATATTATCATATTTATATACGTACACGGATAAAAATGTATTTTGAGACTATATAATCGATCGTACCTGCATATGTTTGTACACGTTACAATATTTTATATTCCTGAAGATAATCAAATTGTTCTTTAGATTAGTAGTAGGAATTTATAATGAAGTTGATCGTCAAAGAGAAATCACTCAGTTCTTTCGTCCTCTTTTTTTTTACATACCTATATCATTATAAATAGCTTGTCGGTAATTTGTTTAAATTTAATCTGTACTCTCCTGCACATGCACGAATTTTCCAATTTCTATATTGCTACTGTGGTAGAGTAATGCGCCACAACAACCTGCGGGTTGTCAAGTAAAGAATCAATTTCGACCTAGTAATTCAATAAATTAACTAAGTAATTCGATCGATCACTGACGCGCTACAGAACAGCGCACACAGTGCCGATTAGCATGTTACAATTTTTAGAAAAAAAAAGATTCCTATAAATATAGAGGCGTAGTGTACTGGAAAGAGAGAAGCGGATTGTAGCGCTGCCTCCATTATTTTCCCCGATTCGCGAAGTCCTGCCTCTTCTGGTTGTCAGACAGAACCTTGTCCTTGAGGTGCTCCTTGTAATCCAAAATGTTGCCGCTCCATTTTGTGACCGCTTCATTCTCGCACACCCAGATTTCTTCAGCGACCTAAACATCGGATATATAGAATTATACAGATACGCGTTCGCAGAGCTTATCGCTTTCTCGAAATAAAGCTATGTGGAAATGTACGTACCTGATTAATCAATCTGAAGTCGTGCGACACGAGAACCATGCCGCCGTCGAAGTCGTTTATGGCGTCAGCGAGTGCATCGATCGTTTCCATATCCAAGTGATTGGTGGGCTCGTCAAACAGCAACAGATGAGGCACTTGCCAAGCCAGCCAGGCAAACACAACCCGACAACGTTGACCATCAGACAATTGACGAATAGGACAAACCTAAATAAAATACGAGATATAACAATTACTCGGCGATTACTCCGTGTCGTCGTTAAATTTCACTACTTCATAAATTACATACCTGTTGACGCCCAGTTAGACCATAGCGGCCAATGATCTTCCTCATTTCTTCGCGCTCTTTCACCTCGGGGAAAGCCTTCATCATGTAATCGAGAGGCGATATATCTAAATCCAGTAACTCGTGCAAGTGTTGGTGATATCTACCAATTCGGAGATGACTGTTTTTGCGAATCATTCCGCTTGTCGGTACTAACTGCAACGTGAGATTATCTTGTCAAGAAAAAAATATCGAGTGACACGTTTACTATTGTAATAAAATATACACTCGCAACGTACATCACCATACAATAGTTTTAGCAGGGTACTCTTTCCTGCTCCGTTTGGTCCAACCAACGCGAGTCTAGTATCCAAATCAATTCCAAATTCCAGATTCTTGTAAATCCAAGGCGCGTCCTCGTTGTAACGGAAACTGACGTTCTGAACCATAATAACCGGGGGCGGAATCGTTCCGCACGAAGGGAAATAAAAGTTCAGCACTTTGTCATTAACAACCTTTTCGGTCAGGCCTTGCGCCACCATTTTCGCTAAAGTTTTCTCTTTCGATTGAGCCTGTCTGGCTAATTTCGCCGAACCGTGACCAAATCGCGCAATATAATTTTTCATATGCGCGATCTGATCCTGTTCCCAGTTATACTGCTTTGCTTGATTTTCAAGCAACTCCATTCTAAAAAAAAAAAAGAGAAAGGGAAAATATAAAGCGGTGACGTAATATTATTAGAAATGATTTATCAGAGCGTTATATTTTTCGCAACTCACCTTGTTTTCACAAATGCCTCGTAATTACCAGTGTAGTATTTCAATTGCTTTTTATTGACGTGAATGATATTGGTGCAAATGCCATTGAGAAAATCTTGAGAGTGGGAGATTATAACGAGAATCCGTTTGTAGGTTTTGAGTTCTTCTTCCAACCATACGCAAGCATCGAGATCGAGATGATTGGTTGGCTCGTCGAGCAATAACAAATGCGGCTTTACATATAGTGCTCTGTAGAAGAAATGCAAAACAAAAAGTTTTATACCATGACCATAAGAGGTCATCTTTTTATTTAAATTTTTAATATATGTATACTTAAAATTTTTACATACCTAGCGAGAGCTATACGCATCCGCCAACCTCCTGAGAAGTCTTTGGTAGGAGTTTTTTGCATTTTTGCAGTAAAACCCAAACCGTGTAAAATATGGGCAGCACGAGCTTCCGCCGTGTCAGCCGCCATATCCTCTAATCTCTCGTATACATCCATGAGTTGTTCCTGCATATGAATATGCAAGTATATAAGTAAAAATAACAATTCCTTTTTTTTATTTTTAATAAAGATTTCTCGATAAATATCAGTCTTGGACAAACCTGAGCGTCTTCCTCGACACAGTCCACCAACTCTTCGGCGAGCTTCTCTAATCGCACACGCTCCTCGTCAACCTCCATCACGCATTCCAGAGCTGTTTTATTGCTTGCGGGCATTTCTCTAGTCAAATGAAAAATATCTATTTGCTCCGGGATAGGAACTTCGCGGTGTCCTAGCACCGCCAACAACGTAGACTTCCCGGAGCCATTTAGACCTAATAAACCGTAACGTCTACCACAATTCAACTCCAACATGGTGTCTTGCAGCAGTTCACAGCCATGGAAAGTAATAGAAAAGTTAGATATCTTGATATCCCGGCTGCGCGGATGCGAAGCCAGCGAGCCCGTGCACGAACGTGCATCCGCATTTAATCTGGCGTCTTCCTCCAATTTCAGACATAATGCCTCTGCGAACACACGTTATTGTGCATATGTTAACAGATGTTTGACAGAATAGGTGTGTTTGTAGGCACAAGGCAATTGCAAACAGTATATGCTTCAAAGATAAAAAATATATTTATAGAGCGGACTTTTGTAATTCATTGTAAGCATTATAAAAAATCGCAAATATCACCAAATATTATCACATTAAATTCCACAATGTTTCAAGCACTACAAAAAATTAAAATTATCTCATTTTATTGTACGTTTTCAAAATTAATTTATTTTGCTGAAGATATGTATGTATATATATAACGGTCTTTTGAAATATTTCTGGAAAATATTTACACTAAAAGCCCTGTGATATCTACAGTCCGGTAATACCAAGACAATGATAATGAAATGTCAAACAAAAAAGATCCACGAGCATATTACTTTTCAGAAACATCTACAAATAATATATCTTGTTTTTAATTATGAGACCTCCGTTTAAAAACGTCAGTCACAGTGTGTTATTTAAAAATTAAATCGTGGCTCGGATACGCGTCACTGGAACTTGCAAGAAAACGGGAAACGAGAAAGGCATACTCCTCTCCCTCCTCCATCTCACCTTCGACGCTGATGGCCGTGCCGTTGGTGCCGTTCTGCAGAACCCCCGACGTCGGGCTCTGCTCCTTGCCGTCCTCGGCCGCCCTCGACTGATTATTGCTCTGCGGCTTCTTGCCGGACTGCCTCGCCTTCGCGGCCTCCTTCTTCTTCTGCTGCTGCTTCTTCTTCGCGTCGGACGGCATTGCCTCTCACCTGGAATTCAACCGGCGGTCGTCGGTTACGGGTCAGCACAAGTCGGGGGGCCGCGGCGTTTTCGCGCGTTACGTAAGGCATAGGTTAGGGGGTTTCGACGGGGACACGTGCGTTATTCGCCGAGGAGAAACGTCACGAGGGAGAAAGCGACGGACCGACATCCGCGGCGTCGCATCGCCGCTAAACGATCGCGACGCGAGACGAGAGACGCGACGAGACAAGATGGGACGAGACCGGACGTTGAAAGGAGCAGCGGAGTCGAGGAGACCTCGCCACCTCACCTCGGCGAACAAACGAGACTCCGTATGGCTCGCGACGCCTCCCGAGATCGCTAACTTTTCGCGCGAGCTGTCCGGCAACCCTTTGGACCACGCGCGAAATCGCCCGCGGATAATTATGCGTACCTAATTGTGCGCCAAAATGCGGACGATCCGTCTGACACGCGAACTCCACACACGTGCGTCGGACGAATGGAGCCAATGGAGGCAAAACCGTCAAACTCCATGACCGAGGTTGTCGTGTCGGCGTTTAGGTGACGCCACGTGTACCGAAATTCGTTTTGCGGAAAAGATTGGCTTATTACAATTCCCAATTCCCATTCCCGCAAAGCTTTCTTTGTCTTCTGCATTTTGACGACAGTCTGTATTGTTTAGCAATAATGCTAAACTTGGTTCAATAATGCTCGATAAACTTTTACTAATTTATTTCTTTTAATTAAAAAAATTAAATAGTTATTCATAGTTTAATTAAAAAAAATATACATATATATATATATATATATATATATATACATATGTAATATATAATATATATGTAATATATATGTAATTACTTGTTTAAGAGATATTAATTAAAATATCTTGCAAATACCTATAGATAAATAAATTGAACGTTAAAAAATTCCCGTTAATAAAAAAAATAATATCTATTACTTTTACATTAAGATTGTACCACGAACAATCGATAAAGGCTACGGTCAACGTGACGCTACAAATGCTTCGAAACATTCCTCTTCTCTTTTCTTTCGATGAAGAAAGAAGGAGAAGAAGAACGCTCCAAAGCATTTATAGCGTCACGTTGACCGTAGCCAAAGATATTCAGTAGAAAAGCAGGAGACGAAAATTCGAGCAATGCAAAAAATATCCCACTGTTCACTTACACTACCTATCTCGGCCGTTATTGCGAGCAAAGTCAGAAGAATTAAGCCAGAATAAAGTACGGGGAGAAATGTAGAAAAAAGGAAGAAAAAGGAATTCGAGACACGATAAATTTACTTGTACATATGTAACTATTGAGATAATCGTTAATTGCAAAATTAGGGGCGTAAATTAAAGTATTCTTATACGTCGTTCGTTATTTATATCGTTAAACTTGGAAAGGTATCGCGGAAGAAATTATTCTCTTAGCCATTCCTCTTAAACTGTACCAGGCGCATTAAATAATGTCTCAATTACGCAATCTCATTATTACATTATAAAACTTTTATATTATATCCTGGATATCGTCACAGGCAAGTGGCGCAGTTCCGATTTGCATCGATAAATCGTCGTATTCCTGCATCAAGTGCGCGCGTTCAAAAATTACATATGAAATACTCGTTACACGTAACAAAAATAGCTTGTTTGGATTAACAAATCACCGCGCCTCGTGGTCGCTATCGTTAACGATGTGCCGTGTGAGTCTCGAGTTACACCGCGCGCGCGGGTTGTCGCAACCCCTTCGGTTTACAGAGCCACTTCTGGATCTCCCCCGATTCGGGGCCGCGTTGACCGAAGCCCGGTCAGGCCGGTCAAGGTGTACGTGTGTTCTTTCTGATGAATGAACGAATGGATAAACGGCCGGGGGATGGGATGGGGGGGGATGGTGGTAAAAGAAGACACAGACTTGCGCCCCGACAGCAGGGCTACGAACGTCTGTGCCGGCCGGACGACGATGGTGGGGTGGTGGCACACCGACGCGCGGAGTGGAGGTGGTTCCGGGCTTAATTGCACCGCATCACAGAACGTAGTATCCCCCGTAGTACGTGCTGATGGGAGGACGGGGACGGGGGGAGGGGGATGTGGGGGTGTAACGTGGCCGCCGTCGCGTCGGCCGGCGCATCGGCGCGGCGTTTGTACGTAAGCCGCACCGCACGTTCGGTTCGACGTGTGCGTACGCGGCCGAGCAGTGACGTACATGTTCCACTTGCGCGGTCAGGCCGGTCCGGGCCGACGACGATTCGCAAGTTGACCCTCTCACACCCAACGGGAGACGTGACGCGTGATTCGGCATGCTTGAAAAATCGCCATCCCTCCGAGAGATATTCAGTCGTCGCGGTCCAACAGCGCGCGTTTCGAAGGGGATTATTTAAATTTGAACTGAAAAATATTGCCAATTGTAAATGTACGATTACAAAATGTAAAAGATTATATTTGCGTAGAGTGACATTCGAGAGAGTTCTGCGACTGACCGCGAAAGGATTTAACGTGGTGAACGCAGTGTCGTCTTCGCGGGGTGATTTGGAAAAATCTCGATGCGTTATTGCGTGTCTTGCAATGTAGAGGTACGTGAGTGGATGCGGTTTGCATGTCAGCCGCTGTAATAAGCTTTAACAGGGGTTTTCGTAGTAAAAGGGATATGTGAATGTCGTCCACCGTTCGTTCAATTGTCGCAGCGCCGTACCAGCAGAGATGACAAAGTAACTACACAGTTACTTTCCTTTAGCAATTATCGGTATTCATGAATAATCGGTTATTCAAACAATTATTTTATGGCGCAATTATACCTCTCTCTCGAATCTCACTCAAAGCTAAAATCATAAACGTGAGTTGGCACAGTTGATAAAGATATTAATGCAGATGAATCAACGCAGTAATTGCAGCAAGATTGTTAACTAAATTTAAAGCAAATTGCAAGAAGATATAAATAAAACATCAAAATGATTATAAAAAGATATTTAATCGACAAAGTAATCTTATTATATATGTTTGCTGAATCTCTGATGCTCTGGTGATGCTCTGCTGAAAAAAGCATTTCAGGGTAGAAAGAAATTCAATTGTTCGATAGGTAACTGGATTGTTCAATTAATTGAATGTTTGATATTGCTACTTGTCATATGACAAAGTAAACATTAGTCTAATAATCAGTATCGCAGATAATCAGATAATTAGGTTATTTTTTTTTTTTAATAAAATAAGAGGTACGAAAATTCCGCTCCATTTTTACCGATATTAATCGTTATGATTATAAAAACGCTAATTAAAACATGCATTTTTTTAAATACAATGAAATCTATAGCGCACAAAACTCCAAAAATCGTCTGTAAAAATGCAAAACGAAATAGTTCCATTAAGAAATTTAATAAAATAAAATAAAAAAAAATATTTTTATGTTAATTCATGAGAAAGCAGTCTATTCAATATTTTTGTGCACAACTGTCGTACTCAAATCAGAACTTTATATTAATATAAAGATATATGTAACGTGTGCAACACACGTATAGCGAACACACAACACTGCACGATAATCATCTAATTAACGGTCCATTACTGGATTAAAATTTCCGATCTATAATGTCTCGCGTCGTTTTCGCTATGTGATGGATGTGTTACAAAAGAGTTCGATGGGTTTATAATCCATCGTCGCGAAAATTTAATCCGCGGCCGGCCGCTACACGCCTCGTCGTAAAATTTATGAGCTGACAGTCGGACTGCATGCCGCTTCCTCGGCGAAGAATCGACGTGACGTCTTTCGTACCGAGTGTTTTTGACACGAGGTGGTCGACGACCGACGACCCAATCGATCCCAGGTTGGAATAGCCGAACCGGAAGTAGGACGTTTAGGCCCGCCGACAACGACAAGAGAGGCAGAAGGAGAGAGGCAGAGACGGGAGGAGGATCAAGCCACCGTCTTAAGTCTAGGATCTCTCGAGTCGTCACTCGCTTCAGGAGGAAGTCACTCAAATCCTTCAACGAGAAAACGTGAACTAAATGAGATATCTTTTCCATGTAACATCAAGAAGCGTAATGGATGTTAAATAAATGGTTGACAAATTTATTAATTAATCCTTTTTTTTATACACGTATGAATTATTCTTTGTGAAGAAAGACAATTGAAATAATAATACAAATTTATTATAAAAAGAAAGGAGAGACGTTGAAAATTGAAACTGAATTCTTACGACAAATTGTTTATCTTTGCTATCCCATTAGTCGGTGATAAATAATTTTGGCAAGGTATTGTATAATGAATCGCGAAAACGAATCGACTCGTGCATTCAAATAAACAGCTTGATAACCCCGTGAATTAAACCGGTCATTCACTGAAAATGATCGTTATTGCCCTCTCTATATTTATTGAATATACAATTATCCACCGTGCGCTCTGATAAAGTGTCGTTGAAATTATTTTGATTGTCGGGCGGGCGATACACGATATCGCATGGACAAAGGTCTCGATGAAACGCTTTAAACCTAAACAGATAATTAATCGTAACATGTAGTAATCTATGCTAGCGTGTAAACGGGCAGAAAAAAATCTCACCCGAATTAATCGTATGCACCGGGGAAAATCCGCGAGCGAAAGCAGTCATGTGTATGACATTCGTTGGCCCCATTCTGCGAGAATGTGCAACACAATTCTTGTCGGCTTGATTAGCATGTCTACCCGCTTCGCGCTCAAGTTCCGTAATGTTTTGTTGTTGAAACTGATATACTCCCTGAAACGTAAGTAAGTGTCATCGATCTCTCTGAATAATCCCCGCATACCCCGCGACGAAACGGAGTCTCGTGCTCGACTTCTCTCTTCGCTATCGTCGGACGAATCTAAATAAAATTCGCAATGTTATACGCTTTATTTGCGCGTAATGTATATAAAATGTGATTTTATATACATTACGATGTATATAATCTCTCAGGCATATTGTCGGAATAAAATAGAGACGTCTCGCTAAATAAAATATGACAGAGAGGTGCTTTTATAAATTTCATGCGCGAAGGACAAGGAAATCTCTTATTTTCGAAATCACATATCGATAAATTGTGAAACTGGGCCACTCTCAGCTCGCGTCGTATTGTTTTCTGCGGGAGACATAATTTTCGTAAGTGTAATATTTTACGTCCTGTAACTTCCCTGAAAGTTTGAATTTTAAGCGCTATAGTCTCTCTCCTTCTCTATCGAAGGGGAACGTCAGTTATGGTGAAAACTTGGAACACCCCCACGGTCGGGAGTCTATTCGGCAGCCCTTAAACTTTCTTTAAGCATCCACCTTAGTAGTGGGCGACCTCTTAAGATGCTCCCGGTAATCAGTATGCAATAATTGACGCTGCGCTTCTAATGTCTTTCCGCGAAGGGAACGTCGAAAATTTTAAGTCGCTCCACACGAAGGTGTAATACTGTTACCCTACTTGTTTCGCAGTGAAGCGCGAACACCAGAATATAAAATAGGAATTTATCTCTGTAACACAATCAACTTAGATACTGAGATCCTACCAATTTTAACGACGTCTATTTCTTCCCTTCCTCACACAGAGCGCAGGAGCCGTGATCTTAATATTACGTCAAAATCTGGGGAAATGTTCAGTTCAATCTATTCTACAGATTTATACTCCTCCTACTAACATATAGAAGACCCACGAAACTCTCCTTCAACGACGCGCGAGATCGATAGGGTTTTTGGCACAATTCGCGATCGAAGGTCCGGCCGGCGAAGGGAAGAAGACCGGCGGCGTGTCCGACATCTATATACGCTACTGCGCGCGGCGACGGCGACGACGACGACGACGAAGACTACGGCGGTGGTAGTCGACGTCGTCGTCGCACCCGTCGCCACCCTCGCTCGTACGTTCGCTCGCCTGCGCGCTTGCGTGCGTATTCGCAGCCCTCAACATGTCCGCGCGACGGCGGCCGAGCGTATAGTCGTGGCTATGCGGCGGGGCGCGTTGCACCCCGCGAGCCGGTAGTCCTCCAGTTCCCTGACGCAGGGGCGGCTCGCAATTCCCGCGCGAAGCGCCTCCACGCGCCCCACGCAACTTTCACCCTCGCCCTCGCGTCGTCGTCGTGCATGCGTGCGTGAGAGAGTACGAGCGTGCGTACGTGCGTGCGTATTTGAGCGAGCTCGTAATCACGGTCCTCGTGTGTCAACGCCTCCACCGTCGTCGCCGACGGTGTCGTCATTGTCGTCGTCGTCGTCGAGGTGCTATTTCGTTCGCCGACCCTCCACGAGGAGGAACAGCCCCGTTCGAGGCTCGTGCTCGTGGCGAGGAGAGAGAAAGAGAAAGGACAAGGACGGACATACACGGTGCACCGTCCGAGTAGCAGGGGTAACGGGGAAGTGAAGGGGTGCTGCTCTTCAGCAACGTACGGCGGAGTGGCGTATACGAACACGAAGGGTGCGCTCGCGCGCGAGGAAGAGAGGAGAGGCGAAGGCATCGCGGGACGGAGTGCGCGGACGGTCGGCGAGGGTGGCCCAGCCGGAGGGTGGGTGACAGAGAGAGACGTGCGGGAAAGAGGGAGCGCGAGTGAACGAGTGGGCGAGAGGGAAGGGGGCGAGCGAGTGCGAGAGGGAAGAACAGAACGGAGGGTTAGTGGTTAGTGCGCGAGCGACAGGAGGCGAGAGCGAGCGAGCGAGCGAGCGAGAGTGCGCGCGAGAGAGAGGGAGAGAAAGAGAGCCAGGAAGAGGAAGAGAGAGAGAGAGAGGGAAAAAGGCTCGAGGCAGGCGCGCGTATTGATTCCCGCGTGGCGTTATACGGTGAGGTGAGAAAGCTGCAACCGGAAGATTCCTCCTGCCTCCTTTCGCCGCCGCGGGAGAAGCGAGCGAGGAGAAAAATAGCCGGAGAGGAGAGCGGGCCGAGTGTGAGGAAAGGGGGAGAGGAGAGCCGCTCGCGCCGGGACACACCGCTCTCTCGCGTCTCCCGCTCTCGTGCTCCCGCTCTCGTCAGGTACGTTTTACGCGCTCGCGAGAGAGGGACGTTCTTAAGCGTTACGATTTATCTGCGTTTTTGTGTCTCTCCCTTCGCGTTTTCCTTCAGCGGCGCCAGTCCTTCGCTCGTCTTTCTCGTCTTGGAGAAACGAGCAAAGCAGACAGGCAGGCAGGCAGACAGACGGGTCGTCGGACTCTCTCTCGTCCCGAGGGTGAGGCGAAGTTCGCGAGCGTGAGCGAGAGATCAAGTGAAACGGATGAAAGAGAGACGGAGAGTGGCCAAGAGAGGGATAGGGAAAGAGAAAGATAGACGGACCGAGAGAGAAGGCACTCTCGAAAAAAGGGTATATCGATCGGGTTGGTCCGGGACCATCGGCTGGCACGCCACCACACGATTTTCGTGGTGGCTCCGTTCTCTCTCTCTCTCTTTCTCTCTCTCTCTCTCTCTCTCCTTTCCTTCTCTCCTCCGCTTCCTCCTCCCACCTTTCTCTCTCTTTCTCTCTATCTGTCTCTCTTTATCCAATATACCACCGGCATCGTGTGCACATCGCTTTTTCCCACGCGCCACCGGCTCGCTTTTCCTATCCGACCCGACCTCGAGACGGCACAGGTGTCGCTCGAAAGCTCCTTGCGCGCTTCGGACGTCGACGCGCCGCGCCGGTGTCCTCATCCTCGCGGGACAACGCGGTCCCCGGTGAGTCCCCGTCGCACTCGACTCGGCGTGTGCGGTTCCCCTTTTCCGGCATGCTTCGCTCGTGCGCGGTATACTGTGGTTTCATCGACGATTCCTCCGTAGGTTCTCCGTAAGGACCGTCATACGTTATCCCGAATGTGTCGTTTCGCTTCAAGAAATTCGTTTTTAACGGTGAGCGATTTTCCGTCAGTGCATGACTCTCGAAAACGAATTCGACAATCTCCACTTTCGTCCGGCGCGATAAAAAAGCCTTTTCCGCGATACTAGCCTTGTGCCGGCAATCATTTCTGTGATAAGCGAGTATTGAGAGTGATATTTCTCGAGAAAGTTGGTCCGATTGTCGGCGGGTTCATCGAGGAGAGATTGATCGCCCCCGTTACTTCGGATAGGTTCTTGTTCTTGACAAGAATCGTCAATACGTCAGTTATTTGCGCAGATCGTTAGTGGTACACGCTTTATTCTCGCGTGCGTTAAAGTGGAATATAATTCGTAGTAGGTAAGACGGGATAACGTGGAGCGTCAAAAATTCTTTCCGTTAAAGTCATTATTCGAAACGTGTTACGCTTCTTCGCGTAACGAGACGTCTCGCGAGAAACATGATTGCCTTTCTCGTCTTCACGTCAGACGCACGCGTTAACGACGAACGCTCTTCGACGTCGCGAACAGCGACGGATCCTAGGAAATGTCACTCGCACGTTCTTACATATAGTGAACGTGCGGTTACCCGTCTTCATCGTCGGTATTCCTGAGCTACGTTGATCCTCGGGATTTCGAACGTGTGTTCTTGCGTGCGTCCGCGTGCTCCGGTTCGCCGCGAGTGCGCGTACAGCGTTGGATGGAAAAGAGAAAAAAAAAAACAAATATACCCGGCGTGTGCAATAAAATACCCCTCGTCTTCTCCCCGCCGCCTCTTCCGGCTGTCGGCCTCTCCGTCTTGCACGCGCCGGCGAGGTCCCCTCCTTTCAGCGTGGTGGCCGTGGATCGATATAGCATAGGAGGATCGCCACGGCGAGAAAGGAATCGAAGAGCGAAGTTCAAGAACCAGTTGAATGTCGGTTATGTAAATGGTTATGCCGACGGCGGCGTCGCGGTGGTGACGCGGCGCCGTCGCTCGATGTGCGAGCGACGCCGGTGCGAACGATCTTCACGAGATTTCGCTACGTCTTGTCTGACTATGTCCGTCCGTTTCCACTTCTTTAGGCGTCTTTAGCCCCCCCGTGCCCTACCTCGTTTCCGAAGAAATATTATCATAGATTCAGGGAACGAGGTTTCGAGTCACCGCATCGAAACATTCGCTTACCCTTCCGAATGATATTCAAGAAGAATATTTTCTGTTCAGTTTCTTTTTATAAAAAGGGATTAAATGTATCACGTTGCGTATGATCGATGTTACTCCAATTTTCGATTTTTATTTGTTGCAAAAAGGCTTTTACTGCTTTGCTACACTACCAGATATATAAAAAAATGTCGAAAAATATATTTTACATTGAAATATACGATTCTTTTAAACGTACGATTGTACTTTCGCGAAAAATATGAGTTTCGGTGCGAAATCGGAGTAAATGCCTGAATTCCGATGAACGGTCAAACATGAAAGAATCCAATTAGATTCCATCGGCGAGCGGAATGCGGGCGAGTTAGACGAGCTAGAAATCAAATAGTTTCTTCGGCTGTGATCTCTCCGTGTATCGAAAGTTTCTCCGGATGCCTCTGCCCCTTTAACAGAAGCGCTAACCAACGTTTAAATGTATTTATAAACAAACAAATGCCGGCGCGCGTTCTCTCGCTTGATCCTCATTATTCTTTCACGTTGAACAACTCCGCTTTGTCACCGTGACGTGTGTGTGCACGTGGTTTTTGCGTTAAACATCGCACCGAACAAATCGAGAGATCGTTTATTGATACCGCAAACAGCTAAGCGATTTAACTGCTTGGCGCGTTCAACTAGTTATTTCCAACGGATTTCGCCGTGTTTGTTGAATATCGGGCAAATGTTAGATCTCTCTACTAATCTGCATGTCATGCGAGCGTAATGTTACAAGGAAATAAGTAGCGCAAAGGAAGGGCGAAAGGGAGGGAGAGGCACGGTGTTGCCAGGAACGAGCCGAAATAACATTTGCGAGAAAAAAAATCGCCGGGCATCGTTAAGTGTTAAGTGGCGTGTGTAAGAGTATTAAGATAACCCGTGTGGCGTGATAGGACGTAGTTAATCTCACGTGTGCGTAGAAATGATCGGTTTGCTTTCTTTGCACCTTCGATACGCCATTAGCGGAGTGGCGCCGTTTAAACGCCGATATACTTACAGGGAAAAAATTGCCGTAGCACGCTCTCCCTTGCCCTCTGCTCGCCCCGCTCTCTTCTCGCGTCCACCGCCCCTCCGCCCCGGGGGTAATCGCGCCTCTCGATAACGGCGATAATTTATTGGCCGCAATCACGTGGCCCTCGCGACTCGCGTAAGCAATAAACGGTGGTCGCTTTGTGATCTTTCAGGAGGACGGAACAGGGTGAGAATCGGCGCCCGGCAGAATGAGAGAGATCGTCAGTCGCCGATCGAGCAGGGACCCGCCGGCCCTTCGCACGAGAGATGGTTTTTAGAAGGTACGTAAAACGGAGGATTCTCACACACTTGCTCGCGCGTCCTCTTATCTGTTTGACGCTTCGCTCGTCTAATCGCAATCCAACGGGAAAATAAATTATCACAATCGACCGCTATCCGGCAAAACAACCTATAGTTGGAACTGATTTTAGCGAAAGAATAAAAAAGCGTAGCAACTGTAGCGGAGTTGCCGAATTGTCGGGACTGTGAAACTGATAGAAATAGAAAAGATAATAGAAAGCCCAGACGCGAAACTAGATGAGCTAAATGTGGTAAAAAGATGAAAAAAAAAGAGAATGCAATTTCCGATTTTGTATTTCTTTTTTTGCACCGTCTCGAAAGTGTAACATGAATACCGAGATCGAGCACGTTATTTTACGGAATCATCCTCTTTCCGCGCCGTGTTACAATTCCGCGGCAGTTCAATTTCTTTTTCTTTCACTTTTTTTCCTCTACTTCCTTTCGCAAATCTTCTTCTCTGTCAGCCGGAAATCGTGTGCCCAGAGTTATTTGTTTCCGACTTACTCTGGAAATATGAATTGCATGTAACGTGTCGTGAAACTGTAATAACGCTCCTCCAATGAAATCACGTAGAGAATTGGCGATTGAGCATGACAGAAAATTCGTACTGGTCGATGTTTTTTTTTTCTCAAATAAGGTGGCTGTCACGTGGCAACATCGAGATCTGAATACAAAAAAAAATAATTTCTCGCCCGGGTCGTTTCCCCGCTTGCAGAAATAAATTGGACCGCGGCATCAAATGAATATGGGCTGTGCCTGTCCGCAGAAACCATACAGGATGTTGACTACAATTTGATGATATTAATAAATTTACTATGACATTTATACAACATAATTCCAGCCAGCCCAAAATGCTTCAATTATAGTTAAATATATCAGCGGCGACACAATATCGCAGTAATAATATGCCTTTATACGTCGCGATAAATTTCGCCACTTGGCGTAATCTTGTCCGAGCTGTTACAACGAGGTGAAACGGGTAACGGTAATATCTTTCTGCGCAATTATTTTTTCTGCGTGACGTGAAAACGCGTAAATCTCATTCTTTGCTTTGAATCGCGAGAAAGTGTCGGCTGACAGTAACCGTTTTAGGTCGCCGCCTTCATTTTCCGAAATACCGAAAGAATGACGACTTGCGTAATTCGCCGAGTCCCAAGTTTTTCTGTTGCCGCTTCCGTCGTGCATCTCCCAACGTTCCAACGTATAATCAGTATACGGGCCTCGAGGAGTGTTTAAGCTTAATCACGGGCAGCTACGGCGAGGCTCCATAAAGCACGAACGGCGCGTTCTCGAAGATTTACGCGATTGCGACGAAGGGGACGGGTGGCGGGAGGCGAAAGGGGACGGGGGATACAAAATCGGTGCACGGCACCCTCGGGAGCGCGTGACGGTTTATCTTCCTCCGTTGCATGTGCATTATTATCATTATACCGTTCGTTCTTTCTCCCGCTGCCGCCCCCCGCCACCCCTCGCCCCCTCACCATCCCGTCGTCTTTCGCTACGGAACGCTTCCCTGCAGCGGCGCGCACCGACTCGAAAGAATTTCGCAAGGGAACGATTGGCCGTTTACTCGCGAACTATAGCGACACTTTTACGACTCCGCATTACGATGCATAGTGCAATAGCCGGCGGGATAAGCCGCTGCAGCCGCGACCTCTTAGCGGTTACGGCCTCCTCCTCGGTCAGCGTTCGTTGTTCGAGCGGATCTCACCGTCTGCGCGGCGGATTTCGCGAGAGGGAGATCGCTGATCCATCGCCGTGGCACGCGAGCGATAAATCGAATGGGCTAAAACGAGATAAGGAACACCGAGGGAGGGAGAACACGGCGGCATTGCAAAGTTCCACAATTCACGTGTCCGCAACTACGGTAAACTAATTTACGGGACAGCGACGCACGCAACGCACGTTTTCTTTTTAAAAGCGCTTACTTGATACTTCTTAAAAGTGCATGCAGTTTAACAATATAACGAGACCGGCGTAACAAGAAATTTTGAGCTCTTTACTACGTAAAAGTAAAAGAATACGTTTTAATAATAACGATTGGATTTTTTTTAAGCGCGTTTTTGAAGAGTTTTCTTATTTTTTTCGAAGGAGACTGATAATAATAACGCTCTTCCATTCAACGGTTCAATTACGCAAGTAACGCCGGTCGTTTCAAGCCGGGACGACATCTGCGTTTCCTCACAATCGCGCCTCGGCGTGCTCCACTTTTCCCCGACATGTGCTCGTTTCAAATAAGTTCTATGAATGAAGTTCGTCTGGCTCTAATTAAATTGCGTGAATGAGTGTAGGCGGGGTTGTCACCAAAAGTGTCAAGGATAATAAAGTTTACCGAAAAGATAAACCTATCATGTTAGAGGGAGAGGGGGGAGGGGAATTCGCAGGAGGATCAAACTTGAAAAGTATCGTCGATTTATTTGCGATGCGGGCGAAGTAATACCGTCAGGAGTTGGGACAGGAGTTTGGTCAGACGCTCATATATCACGGGTAATATATCATTGACTATTGACACGTGACAAAAACTTTCGTCCTTTCGCTAATAATACAATAGTATTTTCCTTTATTCTTAATTTACCGCGACACGCTATCGTTGCACACCGTTAAATGCCAGTATTAATTTGCTCTTAATTATCAGTATTTGAATTTTATTCGGCACGATTATTTAAATTCTGCTTCGGACGGGCAAGATCTCTAGCAAACTCATCTCTACAGCAAACACAGCCCGTTAGTCTACAAAATGCGTTGACTTAGTAGAAGTTTTCTTCACAGAATATTTTAACACTTATTATAAAGATAGCTTAGATAGCACTCTATTAAACAATTTTTCAACGAAAAACACAGCTAGATTTTTTTTTAATTCTGTCGATCAATCGTCTTTTATATAAATATTGCTAGAAGTGATTTTGCTATAAATTCCACGAGAGAAAGAGCTGCAAAAATATTGTGCGAATTTTTGCAAGGTAATATTGTAGCATAACATTTGTTCGTTTTATGCGGAGGATGAGTTTCCTTTGCCTTTACTTTTCTTGCTAAAGAGAATTAAAGAACAATTTGGTGGAATTATATGGAGGGTTCGCGAAATCTCCCTTGAACTTGAACGAGAAAGGACAAACGGAAGGGAGAACCTTTTTAGGGCGAGACACCAATAAAGGGTCAAGGATTTCGGCGCGCAGAGAGAAAAAAGGAAGAAAAAGAGGGAGAGAGACCGGTTGACACGTGCTTCGGGATTTCATTGAATCTTAATGAGCGAGTCTGACACAGAATGTCGTTAGAAATAGTAATCCGAGCGGTTTGGCATAGCCGGTCGCGACTGACGTGGTTCATGAGATTCCTGTCATGCCACACTATGACCCCAGATCAACCGTGATCGCATGTCGGCATGTACCATAGATTATCCGATCATGTTCGATATATAGGTTGTCCGACAAATTGGGTCACCCATCTCAGGTTGCAAATATTAGAAATCCAACTCCGAGAGGAGCGATATCCAGTTTATAATTCTTTTCACCCTGGAGATAAAAATAAATTAGAAATTGTAAAAGTCAATGAATTTTCGCACATAATCTGGATAACAATTAATTCAAAAAAGTTTCACCGCTTAATTAATTCTATGATTAAATGATTTTCTCTGTATAATTTTAAATAGTTCGGATTTTATTCTCTTTCTTCAGCTTCTCTTTTCCCCTCTCTCCTTTCGTTAATTAATGATAACGCTTGATATAGAAAACTGGAAAATCGTTAATAAATTAAATGTTTAATAAGATTTTCAATGAGGGGGATTGGGAAGATTAACATAATTTACAATTGAATCTGTGACCCGGAGCAAAAAAATTCAGAGAAATTTTATTTCTGCAGTGCTCCGAATTACCTTATAAATTATATTGTAATAAATGCGCAACATCAATTTTTGTTTCTTAATTATGAAAAAACTGCTCATACTAGAGAGATTATTATTTTTCTTTTAAATTTGGCAAGCTGGGTAAGAGACAATCGATCTTTATTATTACGGACACTTTTGTGAAACTTGTTCCGATGAAATTCATCCTTTCCATTTCCGTCCTTTTAAAAAAAGAAAGAACGATTCACAGATGAAAGATGTCACGTTTAATTTTAGACTGTCGTGAACGACGCAGATTTATTAGTACAGTAAGTACGTGCCAACACGTAATAGTAGTATATCGATTGTCTTGAAACAACCAGTGATGTTTGTATTTTACCCCGAGAATCGAAAGCGGGCGGCGTTTAAATATTTGACAGGCGCGCGCTCTCTCTCACTCTATATCCTTTGACGAAATTATATTTAGCTCGATTCGTGTTGTGCGTACTAACATCGGAAATAATTATTAAATCTGAATGCGAAGTTATATAAGCAATATGCCGATCACAATTCGGCCAAAATGCTTAATTTATACATTAATTACGTATGCAATCGAATTACGTCGAAATTATATCGCCGATTTAGGGTCCTACAATTTAATATTTATTAATTTATTAATATTTTAATCGAATATACGTTTGCGCGAGTGTTATAATACATTGACGATATGAAATGCATTATTTTCTCAGACTCTCTAGCCAATAACGCTTGACGTTTATTCTAAATTTCTTCTGCGGTCTCAGAATTTCAAGTAAAATGGTTCTGTGCGCGGCGTATTAGTTTCTTTTAAATAATCAAGGTTAAGATAAAGTTTTCAACGAATTTTGACAAATGAAATGGTTCTGTGTGGCGTATTAGTTTCTTTTAAATAATCAAGGTTAAGATAAAGTGTTCAACGAATTTTGACAAATTGCAGCGAAGTCAAATTAGAGGGTACTGACTGATGTGGCAAATTCAGGACGACGCGATCGGGCGAGGCTCGTCGTTTTATCGAGCGAAATCGCGACATCGATGTATCTCGGAGCGCGTATTCAATTATTAATGCCGACATCACGTGTCACGATTATTCCTGGGAGGAAAAAAAAAAGATGAGAGACATTTCGCGTGGCCGGAGGACGATATAATAGAAATGTAGAACGGGAACAAGGGGGAGGGTGGAGGGGAAGAATGAGAGAAAGCGGGAGAGAAAGAGAGAGTACACACGTTCTCGTGGATTTATATAACTGTCGCCGATTTGCGGGGGGAAAAGAAAGGGGATGAGCGGACGCGGGGGGAATCATCTGCATGCGCGAATCGGTAATCGATCGCGCGCGGATACAGGCCGGCCGTTAAATTAAGATAACCGCGAATCGGAGAACGAGAGGGAAAATGGGTTAATGAGACGCGACGGAGGAAACAGTTTTGCGGCAAAGGATGGAGGCGAGGGGAGGGAGGCGAACAGGAAAATGAGAAGAGCGACACGTGGGGATTATTACGGGGATCCATTACAAGTTTATGATTCGTCCGTGGATAAAATACGAGCGCGCGCCTCAATATTAACCGTATATTAACGTCGCCGTAAATTAACCGCGCGCCGCCTATAAGAACGTCGTCTACATATTCGATACGCGGGCAATTATACGGAATATTCGCGCCATTAAACTATCCGAATTCACAATTCTGCCCCATTACATACTTCCCCCGCGCCCTCCGCTAATACTTTCTACGCTCTACTTGCTGCATAATTTGCGCAACGGTTACCGTTCTAAAAAAATATATGTACATATTATAAAATTTATTTTTTACTTTCAAGATAAGGTAGAGAAGAGAACTTTACTGATCTTTCTTTCTTAAAAAAAAAGAAAGGTCTTTCGAAGGAACGGCATATTTTGACCAGACTTATCGTCGTGATTTCAGGAAGAGGGCATGACGCACCGAACTCATGCAGTGGCGAAAACACGTGCGCATCAAGTACGGTGGTCGAGTCGGTGTCGGTCAAGGACAGCGGGAGCGGGAGCAAGGGCAGCTGCAGGTGCGCGTGGTGCAGCTGCAGCGGGAAGGGGGCGCACGACTCAGCTACGTCTGTCATCAGCCTCAACTCTCGTCGACGGCTCGCCGCAGCTGCAGCGCAGCAGCCATGCTCTGCTGCGGCCGCAGGAAAGTAAGTGCAATAGAACGCACGACTGACGCACACGCAGACGTACGGCAGGGCAGACCGCGCGCACCGCGCGGTCACGAATAAACGGCGAGTGGTACCCCCTCGGAAACTCCCCGAGGGTCACAACCGCGAATCTCTCTGCGGGAGAATCTATCTCCCTCTCCCCGAGAGAGAGTCGTAATCGAATATCATAGACCGCTTAGAGATGTCTCAGAGATTTTCCAAGTCGATTCAGCGAAAATATCGACAGGACAAGTTAGCTAGCAACTTTGTGTGTATGTGTATGTGTGTGTGTGTGTGCGAGCTTATAGATCTTACCGATAAATCTTACGATGGATTCGAGCCAAATCGGAATGTGCCAGAGTCCATTTCCAATGATCGAACTGGGTTCGCCGCCGCGTCATCATTACGTTAAATATCATGTACGTTGAAGTCTTGCAGTGGTTTTAAAAAAAGGAGACCTTTGAGAATGCCCGCGTACACGCGTATACACCACGCATCGTGGAAATGTCCCTCGTGCGTTTCTATCTTTGATTCCCGCACGAGGATCCCGACGTGTCATGCCTGAATCACATTTCACGTTAAAGGGCAAACGTGAATCGTCCAGCATGTCCATCACGCGTTCATTTATATCGCAACTTTTATCCGATATAATATTGCGCGCTACCCACGATGCAGAAGTTATTCGTATGTGAGCACACATTTAATTTTACATTCTACGCAGAGCGTCCCCGTCACTCGCCGCGTTCTACTTTCTGTAAGTTTATACCCGGTGGGAAAACTTGCGACTCTCGAATCTCGACGTCAAATATATGTAATTGATACTATTCAAGCGTTAAATCAAGTTTCCGTTAAAATAACTCGGAATCATCTGTAAAGAGCGAAATTTTATCTACTCCCGAAGTTAAATCCGTCGAAAGTTTTACTTCTCGATATTAGATCTTCCGCGCTCCGCGCGGGAAGCTTAATTTTGGCGAGAAACTAGTTTTAACAGATTTTAAGTGAGTAATAAAATTCAATGACACGTAACGCCACTTTCATTTACAATAAGAATAATAAAAATAACAATAATAGTCGCTAGGTTTGCTTTTAAGTATTTAATAATATTTAACGTACGTTTCGAATTGTAACATTAAAGTTTTCTAAAGGCTTTATATTTATTTATAATCGTGAAACATAAATGACTGTACCATCATGAGGGAGAGATTATCTTCTTTCCTCTCTCGAACTAAACTTACGTCTTCCGTTACCATTTTTAAAAGGTCGGATATATATTCTGATGCAGTATTAGAAATGAAGAAAAAGTATATTTATATACACGCGATGTGGGGCGCCGCCGGGAGCGAGGAGGTTAACCGAAGTCGCTTTCGAACCCATCGTCCCATCTCCTCATCGCTGTATACCGCGAATTCTCGAAACGGTGACGCCGGAAGCACGATGCCGAAGTCGTTCGAGTACACCGCCTGTCGAACGCCGGCTTCGCATTGCCGTCCATTCAATTTGTCTCGATAAATCGCCCGGTGGGTTTTCATCGGTCGGCCACGCGATTTTCCCTTTCACAAGATCTACCCTCGAATTTGAAGCAAAATACATCGCGTTAACACTAAAAAAAAATATTACGCTGCGATTTAGTACATAAAAATTAATTCTCTCTTTCCTCGGAATTATTTGAGCAGTATGAGATATCGTTTTCAAAATTAACACCGCTACTCTGTGAAATATGTTGAAGCTCGGAGTTTCCGATGGATCTCGCTTCGATAACGAAAAGAACGAGGACGACGCGACGATCTAAAATTATCCGAGAAAGCCGTTAGAAGAAAGTATTGTTGTTAATGTATCGATCGCGTTCCTATCACGATTTAGTGCGACGCCCGGAAACACGCCTGATTTATCTAAGATAGGTCGTGCCCTCTCGTCGCTCGCTTCTCGCGATCGAGTGCCGCCGCGCTCGATTTACATCGCGCGGGACGCGTCGAACGGTCCACATCGAAGCGAAGTAGAGATTAATCGGGTTAATGTCACGGGCTTTCACGTGCGCGTCTCGCTACCGCAGGTCGCCACGTGTATCCGCAGACCTGATACCGGCGGACGTTGCGAGGATAGCGTTGCACCTGAATTTATCACACGGTCGCGCCATGTAAACTTCACGAAATGCGTCATATGCACAATATCGCATTATCATATACCGTTATAAAGTCGCGGAATTAACGTCAAGAGTTTACAGATTTTGTCCATCGAAAAATTTTTAAAAGCTCATCAGGCGTTGATTCTTTTTTCTCCAACAATTCTTTTTTCCCTTTTTTTTTTAATGTCTGATATTAGTATTTAAGGCGGATCACTCTTTTGTAGTCCTCAGTAGTTAGTTATATGAACGCGAAAGCATTTGCATATATCATTCGTGATTGTTCCATAATTATAATGCACCATTTCGCGATGGCCCGACGCGAGCCGGCGCGGCGTAACGAGAATTTAATAATTTAATTGAATCACGCGGGTTTATTTCCGAATAAACTTTATTAAAATTTAACAATTATATACGGCAATCATTGCACAGCGCGCGCATCTGCCGTGGAAGCTGCAAGCTGCGAGGAACGAGAGGCGAGTGCGATGATTTAATAGGGGAGAACGATATGTTCCTATCAATCGGCTTGAAAGAGGCTAACGTTTTCCGATATGTCGAGGGTTAGTTCAAAAGTTCAATTGTGAATAGTGTCATATTTCGAAACGTATGCATTGCGAGTCTCTGCAACGCCACGCCAAGCAACTATTAATCTTACTCTAATTAAAAATTTACTTGATTTGTGGACAACCTCCTGATTAACCGTGCGCGCCGTTTGGATTGTGTCTCAGAACATGATAGATATAAATACCGACTGTTTAAAATAACACAGCTATTTATGACATTAATCGTTTGCCGCTTAGGTCTAGGAATATACACATGGATCTATAATGCTTAGCGAAAAGTTCAGGTCGTTAATATTCCAGGGAATTTCACCGTGTTTATAAAAACGTTCGTTATTTTGCAATTTAGCAAGCATTTGAATCGCGATTTTGCGATCGCGTATACTATACGGAATCTGACATTCTCCCGGAAAAAAATTCGTCGAAGAATGCAAAAGCTTTTGCAGGAGTCACGTATAGAAATATCTGCATTCTTGCAAAGCAGTTGAACCCTGGGACTATACACCGTACTTTTGTATGCGCCGACTGCACATCGGATCTCTCAGTGATATCGTACGTGTATAGCTACTTGTAACGCAAAAACCTCGATATTAAACTACCCGAAATCCCGAGTCACGAATCGATACGCGACGCGAGAGTGCGTCCAAGAGTTTTAACCCCTCCGGGGGGGAAAACTCTTTACTCGCAATGAAAGTCGCGTAGAGAGCTCTCGTCGATGGCTGGCGCGGCGGCGTGCCGGCATCCTCGAATTGATATCATCGCGGGGTACGCGCTCGCGGGGATCAAAAATATGATACCGGCGGAGTATCAGTTCGCGGTAAATCAATATAGAGAGATACGGAACGCGGCACGGCGCCGGGACGGGATGGGACGGACCGGCGCGCAGGACGTTGGACGGGGGTGAAGGCGACGGCGATGCGGGAGGGAGGGGAAGGGGGGCTTTATCTGATATATTTGTCACAGTTGCGCCCGCAAATATCCGGCAGGTTGCCATTATTTTGCATTCTATCGGCGCCCGGAGCCCGGACGAAATAAACGCGCATACATTTTCTATCCGGGCCCCGTTCTGTTGGGGGGGGAAAGGAGGGTTAGGGGCACGGTCGACCGCGTTTTCGGTTAGCGCGGCCGGAAAGTCGGCGAAAATAGCGGAGAGGCCGGGGGACGGGAGAAGAGGAGGGGAATTTATTTATATACACGTACATGCGACGTGATTGCCGAACGCAATTAAAACACGTACGCGCGTGCGGATTATAGTCGTTTCGTGGGGGGAGGAGGGGGTCAGGGGGGGAGAGAAAGGGATTGGCACGTCAAAATGCATCGCCGAGCGTCTCGTCGAGGAGAGATTGACTCTAAATTTGCATCGAAGAAGCTGACATAATCTGCATAATTTGTTCTCGTGCCCTTTACCATTGGCGTTGGTAGCCTTTACCTTTCTCCTCATTTCTATAGAATAATATTTCACAATAGTTCTGCGACGATTACTCTTTCTTAACTATTTAGGAAAATCCTGGTACAGGTAAACCCTTTCTCGCGATAAGTTCCTCCCTTTGCATATCATTTCATTTTATAACAAAATTTTTAATTTTTTGCTTCCTAAAAAATTTATTTTTCAAGTTTAGTATATGGCTAATGTGGGACGTACCTATATTTTAACGCGCTTAATGTGACGAGGGGTGTCGCGAAAAATAAAAGCCATCTATGGCAAACTACGCAGGTCTTAATAATAAGTCTGCACGAATAAAAAGATAGAAAGACTTTTCCCATGACACTTGATATTTTAAGTCCTTCATTAACGCGATATTTTTCATCGAACCGGTCGATCAGAAGGACTTATTACATTGCGAGCTCTCAATGCGATATTCTCTATATGATGTATTGTGTTTGGCGTACGTATGTATATTCGAGTACGGTCGTCGTTCAATAAGTTGCCTCATAAAATTCAATTTTACCTTCGCTTCGAAAGGCACTCGATCCTATATAAGAGATCCTCGTTTTGTTTATCGCCTCATCCCTCGTTCTTATTGTTCAATATAACGATCCACCAGAAATTCGCTGTATGAGTAAGGATGAGATATAATCTTTTTTTTACTTCGTAATCTATTCAGTAAAATGTTGTGAAAATTAATATAATATTATAGAAAAATAAGGTCGAAAGAAAAATGATAAAATATGAAACGTTGCTCCTTGACACGATGTTATTTTCTCTGAAACAATTTTTCAATTTCTCAAAAGAAAAGACAAGCATTTCCCTGAAGTTTATTCTAAAAAAGAAAAATAATAATCGGACTACTAAGACGAATTTTCCAGAATTCTACACTTCT